AGAGGCATGCTAGGTTAGCAAGAGTCCATTTGGAACCTACTTCTCAAGTGGGGATGGATGTCAGCACAAGAGATAATAAAGAAGTAAAATTTAGAAGGTTTTCATACCTGGACAAGAATTCATAAAAGAGGTCAGAAACAAAGGGGGGGGGGGAATAATTTAAAAAAAAAAAAAAAATCAGAAGCAGGAAGACAGCGATACCATTTAATCTGCTGAAGTCATAAGAAACAGAGTAACAGGAAAAAAAAAAGTTAACTTGAACAGCATTTAGTAAGAGATTTAGGAAAAATTCTCATAACAGAACCGAGAAAAGTTACAAGATTTTTTTTTTTTTTTTAAAAAGAAACACAGTGGTAGAACAAGAGAGGATCTACAAAACAACATGCACAGGGGGATCCTGAAAATCTGTAATATGGCAGACAGCATAAAAAAGGATCATGAAGAAAATTTGTAACAAAAATGGCTTCCGGACATTTCTATTAAACACACAATGTAAAACCACAGAGGATTAACACTATTGCTCATTTAAGGTAACTATGACATGCCAAAAAAGGATACAGACAGAAGAAACCTGAAAGGTTACCAAAAAAAAGACAAAGAGAGAAACAAGAAAGCACATTGCTTACATCTATCGAAGATTAAAAAAATACAGAAGAAAGTTATACATTTTAGAAGATTTAATTTTTAATGACTAAAGAAGGGCCCTTTGACGCAGAAGACAACATTGAACATGCTGGAGTCATCTGAAAAAGGATTAAAAAGCAAGAAACAGATCAAGTGTAATCAGGAGGACATTTTAAAGACAAGGTCCAGGTACAACCAGCAGATACTGTATTTCCATAATCCCGGCGCAAAAAATAAATGAATGAGAAATAGTCAAGGGGAAAAAGAAAAACTGGAAAGCTGGAAATGAAAACTGAGCTTGTGAACCTGGAAAAGAAAACTGTGGAAAAATGTGTTTTCTAGAGAAAGAAAAATAGGACACTGTAGTAGGCAAACTTCTCACCCAAAAAAGGGGTGTGGGAAAAAATAAAGGATGAAGAGATGGAAATAAGCAAATATTTTGAGAAAGGATAATATACAGCTGGAGACTAAAAATTAACTGCATGTAAATCAGATGGGAAATGGAAGATGGATGTTTCTGTTTAACAGCGTCATTCACTTCTGAAAAAGCAGCATTTCAGTTCATGGCAAAATGAAAAATGTTTTCATCTCAAGTCAGAACACAACAATTTTAGGCTAGTAAATAAAAAAAAAAGACAGCCGACATTCCCCCCAGCACCCGGTACTAATCTGCAATGCCAAAAAGCAGTCTTGTGCTGTTCTATTCCATACATGATCCATTTGAACCCTAATCCTCTTTCTGCAAGTCAGAGCTGTGCGACAGATCCAATAAGCATACAAACTCTTGTGTTGCACAGCAGTTAACGTGACACGATAATCTGATAATTCAACCACTGCTAAAAACTGCTAAATATATTCCTGAACTCAGTCCTGCTAAAATCACACCAAAAATCTCTGTACATAAAGATTTCCGGAACAATTAACCTGCAAGAAAGTTGTTAAGACTGTATTGGTCTCAAAACTGTCATTCATGTCTGTCTTTAGGTTTTGAATATTCTTACCAGTTTTTAGATTACATTTAATTGACAATTCACTACTCAAAACCTGTGGAGAACAGTCTTAATAACAAAATTAAAGAAAGCTGATTTTATTAAGTAAAGCCTTTCAGAAGGAAAACATGAAGTTATTGTAAAATTAGACTTAACTTGAGTAAAAATTTTGCAACGAGAATTTTAAGTTTCACCTGATTTTTAAGGAATAGAAACTCCATTAAATGATACTTCAGTCAAACACTCTAGTACCTGCTTCTCATGATAACCGCCATTCGTAGTAGGAGTTGGCATAGAGAATGAGCTCTTACCTACAGGGTCTTCACTGTAAGAAACAGCCAATCATGACATTATCATCTCTCCTACACTCGATCTAAGTTGCAATTTTCTTACAAGCATAAAAAAAACTTTGAAGATTCACCCAGGAGTTCAGCAAACATTTCAGGAATTTCTCAAGATTGGTTAAAGCTTTGAATCATGAGGTGCAAAAAAATTATAGATAAAGACACATCCATCCTACAATACAGGTTGCTGAAGCTTTCAGTAAAACACACACAAAAAAAAAGTGCTTTATGGCTAAAAAAAAAAAAATCCTGTGGTTTGTTTCGATAATGAAGGCAGTAGGAATCAATTCACTAAAGGCTTCAGCCAGAAAATATTAACTTGAAAGAATAAAAAATTATTTTCCTTGTTTAGAAACTGGCAGTTAATTCAACCAAAAATTCCTGCTGAGTGCATTCGGTTTTTTATCCACATGGACAGACTCAAGCCCCATAAATCCTTCAATAATTTTATTGTCTGTATCTGGTTGTTTTTTCTGCCCTCACACTGATCAGGAAACCTCGTTTGTTTTTCTTTTTGCCCCCATAAACACTCCTTATGAGCTGTAAGTCTATGAGCAAGTCAAAGCTCTCAACATCTTTGATTAAGGGGAGGTGAAAAGTAATTATGATTATTAGGGAAAAAAAGAAATCAGCGCAAAAAAGATGCCTCGTGTTAAGAAGATGCAGTTTTACAGCAGTTTTGAACCTTGAATTGCAGTAACTCCTACAACTAGTACTGAATCATAAGTTGATACTAATTTATTTTTATCTCTTTAGATAGATATATACTTGCACATACACACACAAAATGCCAAAAATAATACTTTTGCATTTATTTTAAAAGCATCTCATTCATAGCAATTACAGCTGAATCGTAACTACATCACCTCAGATTCTTCTTTTTTTTAAGAGGGCAGTGTGCTAACCCAAACAAATTATCTAATTACCACAAACTAATATTCAAATACATAAATTCTTATTCCTCTAAATGTAGTATTTTAATACTAAGAACTGTGATGCTTAGTGTATTTTACATTTTCCAAAGCACAAAGTGATAAGAAAGGATCTGTTGAAACGAGATGTTAAGGGAACGAAGTGATATTGTCTAGAGACTTGACCAGACAGCTAGTGGGATATCATATTTTGTCTCCTCCAACCATTTGATCTCCAAAGAGACATGAAAGTCAGTGGAAACATTTCAGAGATTATAGTGCTGCTGGTCACAAAGCTACTGTACTCTAAATTAGTTAGCATTGTATTTAATTGATTCCCAACAGTTCCATATATATTCAATTTACCCACACTTTCTTAAATCTCAAAACTAGACCTGGGAGTTGCTCTGAGAGCTTTCCTACAAAATTAGAAGGAACAACTTTTGTGTTTGCAGTGCAGCAGGAAAAAAAAAAAGTGTTTGCACATTTATTTTTGCATACGGTAACATTCATGTATTTTTAATTTGTGACTGATAGGGGAAATATAAAGTTTCTCAAAGCTGAGACAAAATAAAGCCCTTCACAGTATTATATAATATAAAAAGACTCATATTCAGTAAATTAGCATCCCATAAAGTATATGAAAAGTAACACCTTAAATTCATCTGTGTATATCTGGTTATTCTCATTTGCAGCAAGCAAAGGATTCAAAGAACGCAAAAGAAAATAACCTGGCAGCAAATATTAAGTCAAATCTCAAAAATACCAAATAAAGTGTGAAAGAAAATCTACTTTTTTGAATGCACCTAAGATTCTGACCAATGCGTTGGTTTTTGGTGTTGGGTTTTCTCCTTCCCCCATTAAATGTATTTTTTCTGAGTAGATCTTGCCCGCAGAATAGTTAGTAGTTGACAGAGACTAAAATGGTATTAAATACCAACAGTTGAGTAATTCTCTGAGCAGTTACCTAACAAGCATTGTTACTCAAGTTATATCTCCATTGTACGATCTGTCATGTATATGCTAGATTGTTCTCTCTGTTCTTTATAGCTAAATTGATTTGCTAGAAAACAGGACTTTTTTCTCTTTAGAATTCTTCAAGTTATGCTTTTCTGAGAATCATAATCCTATGCATGCTTAGTATTGCATTTCATGCAGAGAATTGAAGAATTAGATAAGAAAATACACAATCATCTGAATTTTTAGTTTACTTTCATGTAAATTGCTTAGTAACAAAATACTACAAGAACTGAAAAAATAATAGGCAAACCAATTTCTGATTACTAGATTAAACCAAGTTTTCAAAGAACACCTAACTGTACCCAGATCCCCACCTACTAGTTACTATTATACTAATAAGGTTAATTCTACACACATTGTTTCAAATAAAACAGAACAGTGATAATTAAAGCCACAAGAAAATTAACAGCTCTCAAGTGCAACTCTCATGATGATAGCTTACAGCTGACTGAAAAGCTGTTTATATAATTAGATTGGTATTTATATCCTACCAGGATCTAGTATAAGTACTAGCTGAAAGACAGTTTCCTTTACTTGAAAACATACCAATTGTATTGATCTTACAGTGCCCGAAGACAAAACAGATTTTTTCTGATGATCTCCAAGATTACAACAAAGCAATCACACTCGCAACTTCTTTAATTCAGTACACTACTATTCCAAGAGGACTGTGAAAGCAACAAAACAATGCATTCTTTTACCACTAGGCTAAATTTCAAGCCCCACTGATAAAGTCTACAGCTGCCTGCAAGTATGATCTTCAACTCCCAAGTTCTTTCAGAGACAGAGCTCTGAGAATGACTCCCATGCTACAGTACTTCTGTCATAGGATAAGTGTTTCAACAGTCCAACCAACAGGCTATGAGCAAGTATTTGGACTGCTTGACAGAAAGGAGCAACTGCATAAGACAAATGTCTCATGAAATATCTGTCAGCCTATTTGCTCTAAAGGTTGTAAGACTCATTTTAAGGAACAACAGCTACAAGGAATCACTCTCATTCGTCTGCTATACAAACTAGGTCCCAGGACAAGAGTAAGGATTCTAGATACTACCATAGTACTATTTCTTAATAACGTTAATAACAAAAAAAGAATAAGAAGCAAGACTTACAGTCTGACTTTCAGGAAAGTCCATCTTCAGCAATTTGTGAGCACATTCTTCAAAGTCTAAGCTGCAATAATTGAAAAAATACTTCTTATTATCTGTGCAATATACGCTACGCCAAAAACATTTCAGAATTATATTGATTCTTGGTGCTGAAACTTCAACTGTTTTGAAATAAAGTATCTCATTAACATTCAGAAAGCTGTTTGTTTTGTTGGGTTTTGTTGTTGTTGTGGGTTTTTTCAATAAACCTTTAGTATTTCATGAGTTTATAACTGAAAATTAATCCAAAGTCATTACATTTGCAGACAATCTGAAAACATTATTACTGTTACATCATCTTACAGAACTTAGCGAAACACAAACATGCGAGCTCATTTTGCACATCCTGAAAAACACTAAAATGCAAGCACTGTACATAAGCTCCAAAACTAGTACATTCCACACTCTCCTCTTCGCACTCCCATTCTTGCATATTGAAAGCCTTTAGCTACCAGTAAGTACCTCCCCCCACCCAAGTATAAGATGAACAAACTTAAGTATGGCAAGAAAGTATTCAACAGTAACTTTGAGAAATATAAGAGCCTTTCCAACATTTCAGTATGGTATTAATTCATATGTCTAATGATTAATACCACAACTACATTACCTCACTCCTCATGCAGACCTGCAGAATATTGTGGGCCATGCGTACTTTTAATAATGGAATTGAGTGGCATGCAACAAGTTAATCTCTCCTTTCACCCAGGCAACACAGGAGTTATACCACCACATTTTGATTATTTGTGCCATGTACTGCAAGGGGATTTCATTTTCAAGATGAATACAAATACAATACACTTCAAGGTTGGTATCTGTATACTTATTTTCCAAACAATGCAGATGGCAACAGGCCTAAAGAGTACCATGCCGCAGAACTCCTTACTCTCAGAAGTGGAGAAACTCTACAGCATCTCGACTTTAAGTATGTCACACATTTTTTTCACAAATTCTTAAGAAGCTGTATAATCGGAAGATCACTGTTCATTCAGAAAATTTGATTACAGAAATCCTCACAGAAGAGTACCAGTGCATTACTCAAACATTTTGAAACAAACAGGATTTATCTTAGAATGAGAGTTTGGGTACCCATTTGTCAAAAGTCTGCTTTATACAATTAGGTCAGGCTCCATAAACAACACTTCCCTGCACACTTTAACTGCACACTAAAAAAGGATTTAAGAAGAAAGAGAATTCCAGTTCACCCATTTCAAAAGAACTACACTCATAGGTATACAAATAATATTACATTTACCTTGACTGAATAGCAAGATAAATTGTACGACGGAAGGAGACCAGGTTAATTTCTGTTTTGTCATGGACAGTAACTTTCTGACCTGGGAAAGAAAAACATAGTTTCATAAAGAGCAAAACATTAAGGCAGATACATGTAATCTCTTAGAACAGCTCTATTTACTATTTACTAAGTCTGTAGCACACTATGGAATAGTTTTTCCAGAAATATTTAGGACTGTCTAGCAGATTTTATTTATTTATTTATTTATTTTTACAGAGAAGGAAAAAAATAGTATTTGTCTCATCTGTAACTAACAGGTAAATATTTAGAGATATAGTTTTAAGAGGATAACTCCCCTTTTAAAGACCTTTCACATGACTTAGCCACTGCAACCTCTGGCTTTAACATTTCTTGTCTACATTATTAGCAAGGTATTTTCTGCATAATTTAACTATACAATGCTTTATGTAGCATCCCTGATTTTAACAGGAGATTCTTTGTTTCTGGTACGTGTAGGATCTACGTTACAGCATTCTGCAAAGTTCTGTTTTGTCCTGGAGCAAGTGTAGAAAAATCCATTCCGAATCACAACCATTCTGGGAACAGCTTCATTCATAAGGTATTCGCTATTCTTTCATTCTTTTAAAGTTTGGTAATGGCATAAATTATGAAAAGTTATGTGAATTCTCATACTTTTCATCAGCCTGGAAGTTCTGCTCTTTTGTGAAATACTCTAGCAAACTGATGAGGAAATCCATTCCTGGTATTCTACAAGAAGAGGACTTGGCTGGCTTTTCAATTACTCACACAGTCTGCACAAACATTTCAGTCATGCTTATCCACTAATTTTTCTCCTGGGAATTAAATACATTCTTTGAAAATGCGTAAACACTGACTGCTTCCACTAAAGATCAAGAAAGGGGGCTGAACTGAACTAAGAAGTGAGATATAGAGGATGTAAATACAGTTGTAAGAAAACCCATTCTGATTTTGAAAGTGACTTAAAAATACGTTAGAGCACTAGAAAGTGTCCAGAAAGGTTATCTTTGCTAGTTTTAAATAACAAATGTGAAAACACTTCCTTTTTAATGTCTTATGTTTGCAAGGCTTTTCTCACATGAAACTGATATGGTCAAGAACAATCAGGCAAAGTTGCTTTTAATTTTCTGCCTGTGCTGAATGCTTCCTTTTAGGCCATTACTTTTATACTATTTGCTAGTAAACACTTCGATCTGAGAATAATTTAAGATAAAAACATCCCTTCACATTTGAACATTCTTAGTTTCGCAAAATGTGTAACAAGTTAAGCTTTTCTTTGCTGTTTCATCTACAGCCAAGGTGCCAGTCATACACTTACCATCTTCATCCTCCTCTTCATCTTCTTCTTCATCTTCCTCACTACTTCCAGCCTCTTGATCTGCTTCAGATTCACTGTCACCTTCATCAAGAATTTCTGAAAGAGCAGCATCCCAGATTAACGGAATACAGACCACAGTAGTTTCATTACCAAAAAAACTTGATCCAACACTTAAGAATGAAAGGGTGTCTCAGGTGGAGAATGTGGCAGAGCCAAAAAAATAGGTATGTCATAACTGAATGAAAACATAGCTGGAGAAACAACACGGAAGAAAATAGCACGAATACATTGAAAAGGTCTGTGATGAACTGAAAGTCATCTGGAACACAAATATCACCCACTGTTAAATAGTAAAGGTTGGTAACAATAATTGGATAAGTAAACGCCCTGTAAATAGGTGTGTAAATATATAAATATTATATATAAAACTTGTATACACACACACCCTTACCTTTCTTCAGCGTTTTGTATTTCTCTTCATTTTCCATAAAGTTCGGATCCATCTTGAAAACATCTTTAGAATAAAAGAAAATCTTTATTTAAAATACAAAATGAAGAAAACAATGAATATTCAGTCTTAAATTTGTTTTCATGGGGAATGCAGTCATACAATTATCTTCCGTTTCTAACTTACTAAGAACATCCTCTGGGTTGTAGTCATCTTCTAATGGCAACATATGAGTAAACTGATCCTCCTCTTCCACTAGATCTAACCCCTCTGGAATGATTGGATGATCCTTGAAGCCATCCTTCCGTACAGCAAACATGACTTCTATCATATACTGAACACGCATGTCAATTTTAGATTCATGCAAAATGTGTCGAAGACGGTCAAAGATTGCTTTGGAAAAAAGACAGAAATGTAAATATGATGAGGATTTACTAATACAAACACCAAAAAGACAAGTGTTCTGGCTAGTTATACTTACCATTAATACCTCTAGGAGAAACTTCTGTTAATTTGAGCCCACTCTCTTTAATAAATCCAATTGCTACTTCAATACTGTCATCAGTAGGCCTTTCAAGAAGCAAGGTGAGCATTTCCAAACATAAAACCTCATGAGCCTATGGAAAGAGTATCAGTAAAGAATTAGGATGTACAGTGTTACACTATTATTACAGTGATTTACTTGACGGAGCAGTCCAACCTTTGAGGATGCCACAACACACTTGTTTAATAACACACACAAGGCAACAGTAGTGGGACAAAGCTAATTAAGAGGAAGTCAAAATTTCAAACACAATTTTACCACCTGTGTTTACACCAACTTCGTAGTGAATGTGACTATGCTATTGAAATGAACAAGCAAGCAATGAAAAACATTTTGCCATTAAGAAAAAAAATAGAATGGATTTCCAAGAAGCAAACAAAACAGCACTTACATTACAGAAACTAGTTCTAAGTGCATTGCATCTATAATTAAATCAGGTCTTCCAGGATCAGGCATATAAGCAAATGGCACGTCTTGGATTAGTTTCCTCTTTACCAAAATGCTTTATATTCCCAATGCATTCCTGAAACACTGCTTCTTGCCAATATTTAAAATTGGAGTATCCCGATTTCTAACACATAAAAAAGTGGCACAGAGCTGGATACAAATTTGATTAGATGCAACTGAGACTAGTTCTGCCTACACAGATGTTTAAGTCAGATGACAGTGTTGCAAGAAAACTCTGTAAGATCTGTGGGATAGAGCCTCAGATGAAGCTTGCTTTGCGTCAAGATTTGTCTGAATACTAGCCCAAACATATTTACGAAGTCTGGGGAAGCTCTGGAGTGTGTGTGTGATGATAACTGCATAGGCTGTTACCAAAGTCTTTTCTAAAAAGGTCCTAAAAACTTACAGCAGGCATTAAAAGGAAATCTGAACTCAGATTTTCAGTAACCTTTAGAACAGGGAGAGCATCTTCACTTAAGCTACTGCTGTCTTGAAACTAAAGAAATAGCCATATAGGGTTCAGATTGAGTAGAAACATGAAGTAACATACCACGTTCTGATTCATCAAATGCGCAACAAACTTTGAAGATGTTAGACAGAGTTGCTGCAAAAGAAATAAAATAGGAAATTTTAACACATCTTATATGGAAGAAAAAAAAATTACTTACTAAGATTTGTGCATCTCACAATAAAATTAAGTCATGAAACTAACTATTTTGGGATACTGATAGTTGTTCACAATTAGGATTGTACACTCCCCCAAAAAAAAAAAAGAAAAAAGAAAAACTATCACAGTACCAACCCAGAATAGGTTGTCAAGCTTTCATGATACTGTAATATTACTATACTTAATGTACTAATGATAGGTCCCGACCCACAAGTCTTGGTTGTGTTCCTTTGAAGTATGTAATTTGAACACGCTTGATACAAGGTTAACACAGCAGAATTACAAGTTTCAGCATGTTGCTTCTTCCCATTTTACATACCTTATCATTTCTGCGATATCCTTTGCGAAAATTTAGTATCAATCTCTTGAGAATCAATTCACCAATATTTGGAAACTTTGAATTAATAATTGCCACAAGAGCTGCATAAACATGGGTAAAAATTGGAGAGGCACTCTGAGCTTGCAAAATGGATCTAGACAGCAATCCCCTGTAAAAATACATAAGTGTAAGATTTTTTTGGTAATAAAACATTTTATGTTTTTATTCAGCACGTATCACATAAAATAGTATTGTACAGTTGGAATAGTTAGAAGATATCAGATGGTCATTTTCAAACCGTTGTTTATTATGCCATAAATGGAGTTTTGCAAAATGCGTTGCCCAAATGTGTCTGAGATGAGAAATTATTAAACTGATAACTTATATTTCATTAAATATTGTTTCTATCAGAACTACATTTGAAAGCGATAAGCATGTAAAAAGTCTTAATCTTGTATCCTGCAATTATCCCTTTTTAACCTCAACACAGGCTCTTCTTAGCTTTGAAATTTGTATGATTGTGCTGTTTCTTTTCCTCAGTTAAAAAAACAAAATCCTGTTTGTGACAGAAAAAATATCTGCTCTGCAACTATTTACGAAAAACACAAAATTGTGTTCCAGTATAACAACTTAAACAAGCAAAAAAATTTCTAAGATATAAAAATTATATTTCCACAAAAGGTCCCTAACAATAAATATCTACTTAAGAGTAACAAAACTGAATGTTCAGTAAAACCAGAATGGGCAAAGTAATGCTTTTCAGTGCTTTTCTCAAATGAAACTGCGTATTTTCAACATAATAATTGTTTTGGAACCGAGAACCGATTATAAAAGACTACTATTTAGAGCCTAAATGAATGTAAACACAGGCTCATGAGATAATAGTTCTTTTATTGTACTAACGGTCTCTCTTACATTTATATCAAGACTAAAGTCTGAAAAGAATCGAGACTTTTTTTCCCCCTCTCAGTTTTGCTTTTTCTAACGCTTTAGCACATAGAATTTGACTTTTGCTGTATCACTCCATTACAAATAGGTGAGGGAAAAAAAAAGCCCTCCAAACATGAATCTTCCAAGTGTACACTGGTATACAGCTCCATCTTCTCTGTGGTCTATTGAAATCTTCCAAAAAACCTCCTATATGGTACTAAATACAAACTGCAGAAGGACCTTAATTCCTACTTACTTTGGAGTTGACAAATGGAATAGAATTCATTTCATACTAGTGCACAGAAACAGAGTATTTCATTTTGAAACTATTAGTTACTTATCGCTTACAAACTGGAACTGGTCTGGTTCAGATCCTACTTACCCTCTAGGTAGAAAACTCAGAAAAGCACTTTACAGCTAGGTAAAACTTCATGTCACTACTTTTATATGCACCTTTGTGCAAATCTGGAAGTCAAGATTAACTGTAAGAAGGGAAATTATATCATTTTCCATCTACATTATTTGGAAATTTATAAGTTTATAAGCCACACGCAAAAACTTCCACAGACAAGTTTATTCTAAAAAACATTCAGTAAGCTCATTTTTAAACTAAAATACTACTGCTTGTATGAAAATTAAGTTTTGGGGATATGAAATGCAGGCAAGTAAAAAGCAGTTCTACAATAGACCGTTTGAGATTTCATTGTTACTTTTAACAGAAATCACATTTAGGAACTACTTGCTCACCCTCTAGATTTTACTTAATTCTCTTCTGTTATGTTTATGCTATCTGCAGGATTCTGATCTTCCCATCAGGTATGATATACATGAAAGTAACGCATTCCTTAGCTATAACCTCCTCAAATAACAGTGATTAAGTTGTGACAGAAAAAGTGTTGCTATCTGTTTGAAATGTAACAGAAGTATTTCTGGATATTTTGTTCAGAGGGGTTTTTTGTTGGTGGTGGTTCGGTTTTGTTTGTTCAAATGGGAGCCAATCCAAGAAACCCATACTCCTTTAGACTAGCATATTTAACCTCTATTGACATCAAAATTAAAGCAAGGAGAGTCATCATACAGTACTTGCACAGTCACCATGACTTAGTACTGAGCTCAAATAGCATAATAATCTTTTCTCTACCTTACAACAATAAACAGTCCAGCCAGATAACTGTAGTAAAGCTTGTTTTGCTAAATACTGGCTACAAATATTATCTGTCTCACAGAAAAAATCCCGGAATACAAAAGTAAATAGAGAGAGACACCTGTAATTGCAAGTCATTCAAGTAAAATGCATAGGTAAAACCTTTAAGAAAAGGAAACATATACCATCTGTTGCACTGTTATTCCTTCAAGCATACAATCCCTTTCCCGCCAGCCCCTTCCCCAAGTAGGGGACGACTCTGCATAGGACAATATAGCCTAAGGTTAACTCTAAAATCTGACTAGCATCCATACGCTACACATAGCATACATAGTGATGTACACATGAACTGTATACATATTAGCAGAAAAGCAAAAGAATTGTTTTAAAATACTAAGACTTACCTTCCCCGAACAATATTTTCCTGAAGGAGCTCATGAATGATATTTTCTATATTAGAAACGTTCACTTTATTGACAAGACCATTGATCGACTTCTTCAAGGCTTCCCAACTCATCCTCTGATATGCCAAGCTATTACAAAGGTATGACAAATTATTAATTCATAAATTTGAGGTAGCACCGAGTGAATTTT